TCAAACATTCACATGGTATCAGAGCCCTCTCAGTTTAACAACCCAATCCTTTCTTTTCAATGGCTTTTGAATCCTCTAATCTTCTTCTCCACCACTCCTGCTGGTTTTGACGCCGCAGGGGCAGTCTTCATGGCTGCTGCAGGCGGAGCCGATTGATTACTCTTCAGCTCCACCCTATTGACCTCCAAATCACCTTTCGTCATACTCTGTACATACAACCTCACCTTTTCCAACCCAATCGGTTTTCCCCTTGGCCAATATAGTCTCTCTCATTTTCTTCCCAATCAACCTTCATCCTTCACATAAACCCTAACCTAAACCTATCAACCTTTTGCAGAGATTTACCTTCGGAATCTGGGTGCCGCACTGGCCTATNGCGACAATCCCTCTTCATGGGTTAGACATATTCTCGCCGAAGCCAAGGCAGCATCGCCGCTGAGCGGCGATCCCTCTGCAATTTTTGATGGCCAAGAACCGGGTTGTTAGCATCTTCAAGAAAAGTGTTTCTCAACCTCTTTGAATTTTTCAGATTCAAGCTTCACGTTCGTTTAAATCCGACGCTTAGCTTGCGGTGGGGTGTTAAGAATATTTAGTAATAAATTATAGTTTACCATATATATTATATTTGATATTTTATTATAATGCAAATATCTAATATTTGCCTTATTATCATAGGTATTTTTTCCATTTATTATTATTTCCATATCCTTGTAATTAATTTGATTATAAATAAGATAACTTTCACACCATTTAGGTGTGGTGGATTAATCAAACATTCACAGACATGATATTGTCCACTTTGAGCATGAGCTATCGTAACTTTACTTTTAGTTTTCTCAAAAGACCTCGTACTAATGAAGAGGTATTCCTTTGACATGACTAAGCTCAGGGAATGAAGAAGTACTTCTAATACCACCGGTACCATATATTGTCTTTTAGTTTTCTCGTAACTTTACTTTCGAAACCCACAACTTTTTTGTTCGATATTTAAGAATTCTATTGACATGACTAAGCTCAGGGCATGATTCTAATACCATGTTAGGAGCCACAACTCTCTACAATGGTATGATATTGTCCACGATGAGCATAAACTCTCATAACTTTGCTTTTAATTAGTCAATATGGTATGAAATTCTGACCTGGGTTTGGGCAATTACACAGGGTTGGCAAGATGCGGCAAGAGTTGTAGACTGCGTTGGTTGAACTATCTCCGCCCCGGTCTCAAGAAAGGAAACTACACAGATGAAGAGAATGACTTAATCTGCAAATTGCATGAAATGCATGGCAATAGGTAGCTCTAAATGCCATATCTCTCTCGCTCCCAACTCTCAACTTTTTAATCAGAGTTGTAATGTCTCGCATTGTGTTTTAGATGGTCAATGATTGCGACGAAACTACCTGAAAGAACGGACAATGAAATAAAGAATCATTGGAACACTCACCTAAAAAAACTAAAGAAACAAGTAGAGCGTATATCAGAACCATCAACTCAGCCAAAACCGAAGAAATTAAGGCCCAACATAGCGTCTGATTTGGAAGCAAAAACAGAAGAGTTTACGGGGTATTGCTCCACCAAATTTGGGATTGTAGAGAGCTCTTCATTGTCGCTACAAACGTCTTCGACTTCCAGTGATGCCAATTTTGGGAGGCTGAATTGGGCGGTGGAAGAATATGATCAGAGCGGCTATGGAGATCTGTGGAATGAACCATTTATTTGGGATGGAGACGATGTGAGCTATGTTCTTGATGGCTCCATGCAGTTCTCACCAGACAATGGAATGTTTTCTCCTCAAGTGCATGAGACAACCTACGACGATTACATAGATTTGTTCTGCTCTTTGCTGTAACCCAACTTAAATAAATGGCACCCGTTTGAAAAAAGAGGTGACAATTAAAATATGTTGATGAGGTTTGGTTAATTAATATGTTTTTTTTTTAATGAATTGTAAATTTTTCTTATTTTTCTTCTTTAGAGTCAGAAATCAATTTCAAAATTAAGCTACAAATTCGAAATAAGTTTAAATTTTAAAAGGTTTAAAATTTTTTAATAGGTCGAATAAGACAATATCTGTTATCGGTGAGCTTGAGCGGTTACAAATGGAATCAAAGCTAGACACCGAGTTGTGTGTCAGTGATGACGTTGGCCCTGAGGAGTAGATTGTAAGATATCATATCGGTTGGAGAAGGGAACGAAACATTTTTTTATAAAGGTGTGGAAACCTCTTCCTAACAGACACGTTTTAAAACTATGAGACTGACGACGATACGTAATGGGCAAAAAACAGACAATATTGGTTAGCATTGAGCTTGAGGCTATTACAAATGGTATCAGAGTTAGACATCAAGGACAGTGACCCCAAAGAGGGTAGATTGTGAGTTCTCATGTCGGTTAGACATGGGAACGAAGTATTCTTTATAAGTGTGTGTAAACTTCACCTTAGAGACGGGTTTTAAACCCGTGAGACTGATGTCAATACGTAACGGGCCAAGACGTATAATACCTGCTATCGGAAGGCTTGGGTTGTTACAAATTGTATTAGAGTCAGACAGTGTGCCAGCAAGGACACTAATCCACACGTTTTAAGACTGTGAGCATGACAACGTTACATAACGGACTAAAACAGGCTAGAAAGCAAATAAATATAGAGGTTGAGAAGGGGTAGGCGTAGTAATCAAAAGATAGATTGCAATTATGAAGAAATCATAATATAATATAAACCTAGGACGGTGGCAGAAGCTATCTAGGGAGGTGGCCTCCTTATGTATACACATATGTAGGATTCTAGTTTTGAGCCATATCGTCCGTACTTGTCTGAGTTTCGGCTACAACAGTAAAAGAAGATTCAATAATGGGAAGTAATAAAACAGTGAAAAGCATTAGTAGGAGACAAAGCGTAGCCCCCCCCCCCCCCCCCCCCCCCCCCNCCCCCCCCCCCCACCCAATGCATTTATGGAAACCCTTGGATTGATTCAAAATTTGAAACCAAACCCTTGTGGCCCTATCCCTGTGTCTCGGTTTCCATGTGACTTTGCTCACCCTGCATTCACATCATGGGACTCCTAAACCCAATTTGTGCTCATATTTATGGTCCATGGAAATGAAAGAAGGAGCAGGAGAAGAAGAAGAAGAAGAAATTGTGTTATTATGGTTTGGTCCCACCACACATTAATTCTCTTACCTTTCTCTCGGAATTTTTGGTTCTCATATCTCTATCCCTCTTCAGGGTTTCATTTAAGGTACTGATAACAGCATGCAGTCTTGTCCCAACTAAGCCTACCGCTGATTTCGAATGCGACTCTATATTACAAAGATAGAGCCTTGAGTGAGTTAATGATCAATTTTTGCAGTGCTAAACTTGTTTGTTTGCACTATATTCTTTTGTTGTTTTTAATCATACAGTGTGTAGCTGATGTGTTTTAAAAATATTAATGGAAATCCGAAAAAATTCAAAGAGGATAATATTTGCTAGCCGTATGCTTGAGCTGTTACAAATGGTTTCAAAGCCAGACACTGGACTATGTGCCAACGAGAAGGTTGAGCCTAGAAGGGGATGAACACGAGACGATGTGTTAGTGAGGAGGCTAATCCCTGAAGAGGATGAACACGAGACAGTGTGCCAGTAAGGACGCTGGCCCCAACGAGGGATGGATTGGAGAGTCTCACATCGATTGGAGAACGGAACGAGTGCTAGCAAGGACGCTGGCCCTGAAGTGGGTAGATTGTGAGATCTCACATCGGTTGGGGGAGGAGAACAAACATTCTTAGCATGGAAACCTAAGAGGGTTGATTGTGAGATCCGAATCGGTTGAGAAGGAGAACAAAGTATTGTTAGTATGGAAACCTCGCATTTTAAAAACTTTGATAGGAAGTCCGAGAGGAAAAGTTCAAAGAAGACAATATCTACTAACAAGTTTAAGTTAGATTATTCCAACAAAAACTTATAGAGTTCAAATTAATGGAAAAGGAATCCATGTTTACGTGAAGTTCACTCCAAAGGGACTCGATCTCCAACCAAAAAGGATTCTAAGGCATCAATGAGAAGAAGTGGGAAAAGGGTTAAAGTATGTAGAAAAAGAAAAGAACAAAGCAAGTGTGTAGAAAGCTGATGAATTTTCAAATCCAAACCCACTCATTCTTGAGTTGGATGATTAAATTAAGGTAAGTTGATGGATTGAATAAGGAAGTGGATGGTGTTAATATCATCAAGCCCTGCCTGTATGGCTGTTGTGTAGTGTCCCATTCTTGAGTTGTGTGTAGTTGTTATCATGTTTTGGGTGCAGAGAGAATGGTGATCTTAAAATTTAAGAAATGGGTCCAGATTATATTTGATAGGGAAGTTTCATTACGGGGGACCATCGTATGTATGGGTTACCTAATTTCAAACATTATTATCTTTCTCTAATCAACCCTTTCAAACCCACCCATTGCTCCTTTTCTTTTCTTTTCAACGTTTTCTTTCCTTTCAAACCCACCCACGAACCTCCACACAATGGTATGATATTGTCTATATTGAGTATATGTTATCTTGACTTTATTTTTGGAAAATGTATTTCTTACTTATAAACCACGATCATCTCGTAATTAGCCTGTAGGACTCCCTTCCAACAATCCTCCTCTCGAACAAAGTACCCATAGAGTCTTTCCAGAGTCTTAAGAGCCCTCGAATAGTCTCTCCTTAATTGAGACTCGATTCATTCTCTAAAGTCTTCGAACAAAGTACACCATTTGTTTAACACTTGAATCGCTTTGAGTTAAGTATATAGCATGACTATATCATGTTATGAATCATTAATTTCCACAATTGTATAATATTATCCATTTTGAGCATAAGCTCTTGTGACTTTACTTTTTAGTTTTCCCAAAATGTCTCATACCAATGTAAATGTATATCTTACTTATAAATTCATGATCATCTCCTTGATTAGTCAACGTGAGACTTCCTCTAGCAATCCTCATAAGAGTCTGACTTCAATGAGTACTTATGCTCAAACCAAAGAAAAATGTGGGACTACTAGTAGTTTCATCTTCATTTCAATGGGTAAGAGTTCAATTTAAAACTTGAACAATTATAAACACGTTTAATAACGATTTAGTTTTTAAAAAAATTGGACTTAGCTCCTCATTATCAATCTCTTTGTTTTGTGGACGTCGTTCTTTAAAAAGCACATTCAAATTCTTAGTCAAATTTCAAAATAAAAAACGGTTCAAAGTTCTTTATTTTGGATTAATATATACTACCGGAGCTCGAGAAGAAAAAAAAAACACACAAAATCCAAATCCAAACACCGCAGCTCCACTTCTAACTTCAAAGCTCTGTTTTGTCTTTGTTTTGGTCCCAAAATCCCAGCAAAAAGGAACAAAAATTCCCTCTTTTCCCCTTCCCCTGTTTTTTTCCCTTACCAGAATCCCTCCATTGCTACATACATACAAATCCCCTCTTCTTTCTCCTCGCCCCTCTGACGAGTCAGGCCACTCAACTGTCACTTTCAGTCTTCCACATCTCATCAACATTGCTGGATCTGAGACATCCGCACCGTCTGATTCTTGCAGTACCCAACCATTACTTTTCTCTTCTTTCCACCCTTATCTGCTCTGTTCATCAGGCTGGAGGAGACTCTGCTCGGCATGAACGTATTTTCAATTTCAGAGCTCGAAAAATGGTGGTCGAGCACATTGGCCGCCGTGTCTGACCTCTCTTCCATTTCCAATCCCCTTTCGTACCCATTTATCACTATCGCCTGCACTCTCTTGAAGCATTTCACCAACATTTCCTCCTGCACCCATACCCTGTTTTTATCAGAATCTCAAAAAACGAGCTTGTGTTCTTCTTTTAAACTTTTAAAAGTGGGCATTTACTGTATTTTCATATGAACACTCAAGGATTGCTTTTTTAAAGCAAGTATATTGAATTGGGAAGAGCTCATGCGAGGCTGAGAGCAGAGCTGCTGCTGCAATCACTGATGGCTTGAACTCCAAAACCTCAATCCCTACAGTCAAACAAAACAAATGAAATGTTTGTTTGTTCATTGATGTTCCTTTTTTAAATGTTTAATGAATACCATTTTGAGCTATGAAGATGATCTCTGTAGCTCTGGCTTTGAGAGCTTGCAAGAATGGTGGGTCTCTGAGTTTGAAGAGGGAAATGAAGAAAGGGATGAAAGAGAAGGGAGTGATTGAGCGCATTCGCCATTTAAGAGCACCCAAGACGAGAACTTCCATTCTGTGAAGTGTTTGAGGATCAAATATGAATCCCTCATTGCTCTGTTCCATAAAATCGAAGAGATTGTGGTCTGTTTGCTTCATTTTCGCAGCCAGAGAAACACAAGAAACGGCGAGAAGCCTCAAGACCCATGGTTTCGGTTGCTGTAGCAGAACAGAGAAGGCAGAGTCAAGCAATTAGCTTCAATTTGCAAAACAATGAAGAAACAGGGGAAAGGCTTACCGGAACTCCCTGAATGGAGAAGAAGCGGTCGAGATAGTTGACGGCGAGGTAAGAGAAGTGAGGGCCAATTTTGGAGTTGGAGGAGCAGTGTGAGATTAAAGAAATGGTGTCTCGCCGGACGGCGAAATCAGACGGAGAAGCTTGAAGAGAGTGAAGGTAAGATTGAGAGAGCATGTGATCGGATTCGATGAGGAAGAGAGAAGAAGCGTCGGAGGAGTGAAGATCTTGGAGATGGGTTAATGGGTTTTCGAGATCAAACTCCATGGAATTGGAGAAACAAGTGCTGAGAGAGAAGAGCAGAGAGGGAGTTTCAATTCATAGGGATTGAGGGTGGAACACGCAAGGCATCGTAGTTTTAAGGGTAGGAGGAGAGCAGGGGAGAGAAAAAAGGACCGTCTTTTTAACCTATTTTGTCTTGTCTAGCGTGTTTTTTAAGAAAATTATAAGAATATTATCTAACATGGAAGAGGAGAAATAAATATTTTTTTTTTGCAATGGTGCGTAAATCTCTTCGCGGAAAAACCTAAAGAGGATAATTTCAATTCTTTTAATTTTTTTGTAACGATATGATCTCAGTTCATTCATGTATCACTCTTTTACTCATACGTCACACTCCCACTAGCTTCTAGCTTGGTTTGTCCTAAACAACATCCTACTAGGAAAAGTACCACTATGAACCCTAAAACTCTAAAGATTTGTAATGTCCCGTTCAAAGATTTAGATCATTTCTCAATTTGTTCATGTCATCCTTATTTGAAGGTCATACTAATCTTCACTGTATCGTCCTAATTTCACTATTTTGTGATAATATATTTCTAAATTTTAAATTTTGCATCTAATACCGTAATCCAAAATTAAAAAAAAAAAGTGCAATAAATTTCTTATTTTAATGTCACATCCAACATTCAAATTTATGAGTTTATTAAACAAACCATCGAGAATTTATAAATTTCGATATTGTATTTTGGCGTTGATATATTTAATTAATTTATTTTTTTTGATGGAAGAATAAAAAATGATGGTGTCTCATATGGCACTAGCATTATTAGTTTTATTTATTTAAAAAATAAAAAAGAAAAAAAGAAAAAGAAAAAGCAAGAAATAAAGAATTTGATCGGCGTCTAAATACTTTCAAAGTTGTAGAATAAAGTTGCCCAAATAATATGTAGAATAAAGTAATTTAATATATTGAAAGAAAATGCGTTGAAAGGGAAAAATAATTGCCAAAATTTATTTATTACATATTATAATAATTTTAAATTTCTTACCCTCCCCATTACTCGATTGGTCAATAATTAATTTTTTTCGTCTAAATAATAAATTAAACTCAATTCAATTATAAAATATTTGATTGGGTTAATTCGAGTGGTTTAATTTATTTGAGTCACCTTCAAAATTCTATTTTTAATAAAAAGTAAAATGTTAATATATGTATTATATATATATATATATATATATATATTTATTTAGTTCCAAATATGATTAAGATTTGATGACTCAATTTTAATATATATTTTAGAAAAATTCACTGACACAAATCATACGAATTGGGTTGAGTTGATCGGATTTTTAACATCACCAGATTTTTTCATCTCTCTATATTGCGTAAGGCTCAAGGGGCCCTTTGGGTCGAGGGCTAGCAGGGGCACAAACACGAAGGTCTACGTGGCATGCGCATGCATGAGATTCTACACACCTAAGTGCGCATGTTACGATCCATGGATCCTTCTCATTGCACCAAAATCCACGTCAATCCAACGCACCCATGCACTTAGACGATGTTGCATCAAAGCCCCTTTATAGGTACATAGTGAGGGATTGAGTTTTGTTGTGCGGGTGTGTTGGTGTGCATAGATGGAAGAGAAAGTGTAAATAAAGGGAAATAGAATGGTTAGTATAGTAAAGAATTGTTCCACACACATCCCCTCATGCACCCCTTTTACTACTTTTGGTGCATTGAAGTAGAGACAGAAATGATGAGCGGATATTTCACACGGAAGCCCCCCATGCACAATACATCATCATTCAACCCACCCACCCTTTTACTCTTTGTTGGACTCTGTTTCCATTTCATTTGCTGCACATTATCAGTGTCATCTCCTTCTCATGTTCGTCGCTCATACTTTTCTCTTATCGGCGTTGAATTTGGATTCGATTGGATAAACGTTCTCGAATCGTACGTCTTGGTCTCTCGTGTTTAGGATTGAACTGCTTGTTCGGGTTAAGAGACATAATGGTTATGGTTAAAATGTTATAATGGCATTTGGTCCCGAGATTTTTGGGTTGATATTGAAGGATTGGACTAAGGCGATTGTAAGTCAAATGAGGATAAGCTGGTTTTTGGTATGGTTGGAACGTTTGAGCTCTATAGTAACGGTATACTCATGTTTTAGAAGTTGGGTCGTTAATGTTTTTCCATTAATCTTTTTAGAATGGAGTAGGACGACTAAAAGGATTAAACTATAGGAATCAATTGAAATTTAATATTGTCAACTTAAACATAATTCAACTAGTTAAAACATATATATTATATTAAAAGTTCAGAAATTTGACTATTCCTTCTCTATTTTATATCATTGAACTCGAAAAAGAAAACAAAAGTAATACTGAGGCCAATTTATTCTAAAATGTCTGAGGTTTGATTCAACCCGAGCTTTAAAACTAGACGAATTTATATGGACTATGGTTCAATTTAGTAGGGGCAATTGGACTAATGGGTTGGGCAATTGGGCCTTGCCACGTTTAGAAAGAAAACCAATCATGGATCCCTTCCATTTCTAATATATGGATAGGATATGAGCCCTATATAATCCGGACGAGGGTTTGATGGGGTCAGTCCAATTGATCTGGGCAGAGTTGGAATTTGGTCTGCTACAAAGATCAGACCGGGGAATATAATTTTCATTCAGAAGTGAAATATCTCCTCACTTTCTACTTCTAAATGAGATTTTCCATCCGTTAAATAGACATATTTATAGATAGATGTTCATCAATAAAATGAAATAAGGTCGGACATTTAGCCTATCATGATGATCAACTTTTAATGTCATGAACATTTAAAACATAGTAATGAACTATCTAATAATATATTTTTTTCAATCAAATCTCGATAATACTTTTACACAACAATCGACCACAAAATAACTGTAAAACATAGATAAACATACATATATATATATATTAAACCATTTGAAAATATGAACGACTTTTATTTCACATAACATAAGGTTTACAAGAATCCAAAAACAACATTAAAGATAATCTTTAGTGATTGGTGAAGAGGATAAGGCGACGACCCAATATCGTATCGACCTTTCTCCGATATTTTTTCAATGACAAATGTTCCAATTTCTCATTTTCTAAGAGAACCCATGATCAGATCTTTTCTTCCCCTCAGTTCTTTGTTCAGTTAGCAAAAGCTCAATGAATTTTCAGTATCTACAATTCCCTTTTCGTTAACTGTGGCTCAACTTCCGATGAAACTGTTGACGGTCCAAAAAGGGTTCGGAGAAAATTTAAAGAATACGAAGATCAGGATGAGGAAAGAATCATGAAGATGATGATCACCGTTTATTTGTCTTCATTATTGCCGTGGGATTCAGCTTTCAATCCCTCCTCTGCTTGAAGATTTAGACAAAAGAAGGTCTGTCCCTCAAGACATCTTAGCTTGTTTTTAATACCATCCATGTTTTCGATTGAAATAAAAGTCAATAGTTAACAACTTCCCGTTTCAATCGGTAGTGGGTTTGATTTCTTCAAGCTAGATATTATTTATGGGAAGTTAATCACGCCATTCTTCGTCTTCTTCATTTTGTTATTCTAAATTTAAACATTCTCTTATTATACTGCTCGCGGCGGAAGAGATCAGGGGTCTTCTAAAAGCTATTGAAAGGAAGTGATTATGGCGGTGACTGATGAAAAAGCGGATGTCGTAAGGCTTGAGGTTTGTAATCGAAATCTTGGGTAGTAATGAAATTGTGAAATCTCTGATGGGTATTGTTATTTTTGTTGAAAGGGTAAATATAGTGCAATGATTGTGTGTTGGCTTCTTGGAAATGGATGCCTGTTTTCTTGGAACAGTATGCTGACCATTCAAGATTACTATGGCTATTTGTTTCCGGTAATTTTCATTGTCTTGAGTAATTTAGTAGCCTTGAACTTGAAGGATTACAATGATGTTATTTCCCCTTTGAAATGTTCTACAGAACTACCATCCTTCAAGGGTTCTTACTCTTGTGTATCAGCCATTTGCGCTTGGAACACTCTGCATACTCGCATCTTGGGAAGCAAATATCAATACCAGAAAACGGAATCTCTTTGGATATGTTCTGTTCTTCATTTCCTCCCTCTTGGTTTTAGTTGTAAACACTGGTTTCTTCTTTCTTTTTATGTTCTTGTGTTCTGAATATGTAAAATGCTTATGAAACTGCTTAGAAATTTGTGGACTGCCATTGTTAATGTTTGTAGTTGGATTTAGCAACATCTGGTAAAGGAGGTCTGGGTCCCTTCATAGGAATTTGTGCCATTAGCGGTGCTTTTGGGATTGCAGATGCTCATGTTCAAGGAGGAATGGTTGGGGATCTTTCTTTTATGCAACCAGAGCTCTTGCAGGTTAATAATGCCACTTTCCATGGTTTGTGCATTCACTTGTCTGATAATCTTTCTCTGGCATCAATTTTGCTTTGCCTTGTCTCAAATTTGTAACTTTTTTGGGTGCTTTTTGATCTTGAATTCCTCAGTCTTTTCTGGCTGGCTTGGCTGCCTCCGGCGCTCTTACCTCGGGTTTGAGGTTAATTACTAAAGGAGCATTTGAAAATTCTAAGGGTGGCCTTCGCAAAGGAGCTCGTAGGTGCTCTTGTTTCTGGTTTCTGGTTTGATTTAAAGCAAATTGGTGTCTGCTTGGATTATAACTTTGAGCTGCTATTGTATAAACATATTGCATATGGGTTTTGTTTGTTGATCTCTATATAGTAGACCAATGGCCATACAAATTAAGACCAATCTATCGAATCACTGTCATAACAGCTTGAGCCCACCGCTAGCAGACATTATCCTCCCTAGGGTTTGTAACAGTCCAAACCCACTGCTAGCAGACATGTTTTAAAACCTTGAGGAGGAGGAGCGGGAAAGCCCAAAGAAGACAATATCTGCAAGCGGTGGACTTGGGCTGTTACAAATGGTATCAGAATTAGATACTGTGCAGTGTGCCAGTGAAGACGCTGAGCCCCGAAGGGGGTGAACACTAGGCGGTGTGTCAGTGAAGACGCTGAGCCCCGAAGGGGGTGGACGCTAGGCGGTGTGTCAGTGAAGACACTAAACCCTTATGGGTTTTGTTTGTTGATCTCTATATAGTAGACCAATGGCCGTACAAATTAAGACCGATCTATCGAATCACTGTTATAACAGCTTAAGCCCACTGCTAGCCGACATTATTCTCTCTAGGGTTTGAGCAGCCCAAACCCACTGCTAGCAGACATGTTTTAAAACCTTGAGGAGGGGAAGCGGGAAAGCCCAAAGAAGACAATATCTGCAAGCGGTGGACTTGGGCTGTTACAAATGGTATCAGAACCAGAACCAGATACCGTGCGGTGTGCCAGTGAAGACGCTGGGCCCCGAAGGGGGTGGACACTAGGCGGTGTGTCAGTGAAGACGTTGAGCCCCGAAAGGGGTGGACACTAGGTGGTGTGTCAGTGAAGACGCTGAGCCCCGAAGGGGGTGGACACTAGGCGGTGTGTCAGTGAAGACGCTGAGCCCTGAAGGAGGTGGACACTAGGCCGTATGCCAGTGAAGAAGCTGAGCCCTGAAGGGGGTGGACACTAGAGTGGTGTGCCAGCGAGGATGCTGAGCCCCGAGCGGGGATGGACACCAGACGGTGTGCCAAAGAGGACAATATTTTCTAGCATTGGAATTGGGCTATAACAACTAATTTTTTTATATTTTCATTTGATGTTTATGAAGAAGTGGCTTCCTTTAAACTAGTGTGTAATGCACAGAGAACACAGTTATTGCCTTAATGACATCAGACCCCTCCCTAAAGACTGATTCTTCTACCATTCTCTGCAGTTTTGTTCTTTGCAATCTCAACATTTTTTGAGCTTCTCTGTGTTATCCTCTACGCGTTTACTTTTCCAAAACTGCCAATTGTGAAGCATTTTCGGGCCAAGGCGGCATTAGAGGGGTCAAAAACAGTTTCAGCTGACCTTGCTGCTGCTGGGATCCATGGGGTAGCAGATGAGGTATGTAACATCTCAAAACATCCAAGCATCTTCTTATCGAACTTGGTCGAATAACGCATAAGAATTACGTGTAGGCCATGGGAAAAGCAACCGAAGTCGAGCGACTGAGCAATAAAGAACTATTGTCACAGAACATAGATTATGTAGTTGACATTTTTTTTATATATGCTCTCACATTGTCCATTTTTCCTGGATTCTTATCTGAGGACACTGGATCACACAGTTTAGGAACATGGTATGTGTCTTCATTTGCACATTTCATTAAATGTTTATTCGTGTCGAGAATTGAGCATATCTCTTGCTTCTCTCAGGTATGCACTCGTGTTGATTGCATCATACAATGTTTCTGATCTTATTGGGAGATACATTCCGCTCATCGGATGTATAAGGCTAGAGTCACGGAAATGGCTTATGGTCTCGATCGTTGCCCGTATCTTACTCCTACCGGCATTCTACTTCACAGCCAAGTACGGCGACGAAGGTTGGATGATACTACTCACCTCATTCTTGGGCTTGACTAATGGCTACCTCACCGTTTGTGTGCTCACTTCTGCACCAAAAGGTTACAAGGTAAGCTTGGTTAAATAGAAGCTAAAAAGTGCAAGATTGAGAAATAGTTTGTGTTAGGAATTACGAACCTCCACAATGGTACGATATTGTCCACTTTAAGCATAAACTCTTGTGACTTTGCTTTTGGTTTTCTTAAAAGGCCTCATACCAACGGAGATTTATTCGTGACTTATAAACCTATGATCATTCCCTTAATTAGCCAATGTTGGACTCTCTCCCAACAATCCTCTCCTCAAACAAAGTACATCATAGAGCCTTCCCTGAGGACTATAGAGCCCTTGAACAGCCTCTCGAGTCTTGACTCCTTCTCTAGAGTCCTCGAACAAAGTACACCCTTTATTCGACACTTGAGTCACTTTTGACTACACTTTTGAGGAGTCCTCGAACAAAGTACATCATTTGTTCGACACTTGAGTTACTTTTGAACTACACCTTTGAGGCTCACAACATCCTTTATTCGATACTTGAGGAATCTATTGACATGGCTAAATTAAGAGCTTGACTCTAATACCATGCAAGGAATCACGCTTTCACTTTGAGCATAAGCTCTCATGGCTTTGCTTTTGGTTTTTCCAAGAGGCCTCATGTCAATGAAGATTTATTCCTTATAGATCCATGATCATTCCTTTAATTAACCAACGTGGGACTCCATTCTAACAATCTTGTTGTGCATTATTAAGTAAGAATGTTTCTCACTTGTTGTGCAGGGACCAGAGCAGAATGCCTTGGGGAACTTGCTGGTTCTATTCTTACTTGGAGGAATATTTGCAGGAGTCACCCTGGGCTGGCTGTGGCTTATAGGCAAGGGCTGGTAAAGTAGTGTAGATTTATAGGCTGTTTGGGAATGCTCTTTAATAATTGCTTCTTGCAAAGCCATTTTCATTATAAGTGATTCATTACAATTCTCTTAGATTTGGTTCTATATCTTTAAACTTTTGTCTGTGACTCATGGAGAGACCCCATTTTTGTGAGAATATTTGAAACGTTTCACAGAATTCAATGCACTTCAAACTGGAATATTTACTGCTGTAAAAGAAAACAAAACTGAAGCAGATCTGTCCCACCAAACCCAATTTTACTGTAGGGTTAAGAAAAAAGACACAAAATCAACAGCTTTCATGTGACAGACACGACATGGTCTTTCCCTCCAAAATAATCCAAGAAACTACGGCCCAACGGAACCTCATATTACGGATGTGTCAAGAACCAGATGAAGAGCACTGCTGTTAAGGGCAAGAATGGATACATGAAGGTCGAGGGTGAAGAAGTGGAGGACTGTGTGTTCTCAAATTGAAGGGAATCAACGGCCAGTGGCATGTTTTCTTGATCTGGGCTGCACTTTGAATCGTGAGGCGGGTGAGCACTGTACATTATGGCTCTTAGAACCGCTGAAACTGTTGGAATGTACGCCGTTTTGTTGCGAGCGAGCAGCCATGTTAGCCCCATCAGTTGGCAGTCTCTGTTGAACATTTTGGTTGCTCTTTCGGTGGTGTTGGTGTCTCTAGCTCCCTTTACCTGATCGGAAACATAAATTAAGGAGCAAAAAAAGCGAAAAGATCCCATTTTTCAGCTACCCATTTCAATGTGGGAGTCGATGAGATAAGAATCGTTACGGTTAAGTTGTTTTGCAGAACCTTTTGGAGTGCGCCGAGGCATTTGGTGCAACCGGAGTAAGATGCGTTGCGGCAATTCTTCTCCAGATCACGCACTGCCGGCGTTGGGGTGGCGTTGTGGAAGCCGGAAAGATTGAATGCTGCTGGACAAGACAAGGAACTTATCTGGTGGAGACGAATTCCACAGAAGCACAATACAGCGTCGCAGCTGGAATTGGGCTGGGGAATTCTGATATTGCGCTTCACCAACGAGTTTTGCAATGATTCCACGCATTTCTGGGAATCGTCTGGCATCAATGGCAGATCTATTTCGGCTGTTGGCGCTGGAGCCGACACTTCTAACGCCGACCTGGCATGAGCTGCAAAGAGCCATGCCGCTAGCACTGGACAGCACCGGCTCCGGTCTAGGTTCCCATTGCAGGCTTGGCTCACTCCCCCGAATAGCTCGTCGGATAGGTCCAGCCGACAGACTTGAGTTTCAGCTTCTACTGGGATGGCCGGAACAGAGGATTCCCCTGTTACGCCAGCAACAGAAACTTGGAACAGAGTCGATAAGATCATAAGGATTGATGAAACTACAACCATCAGAGAGACCATATTTTGAAGTTTCCTTGATGGGTTTTGTTTTTGATGATCGAGGAAGAAATGGGTTGCGCATACAAAGTCGAGAGGAAGAAGATATAGATTGATCGGGAGCACGAAGGTTGTTAAAAAGATAGCATTCGAAAGCGGATTTGACTGAAAGGGGATAGGATTTGATGTCTTTCTACAACCAAAAATAATTCTAAAGCAACCTCGCCAAAGGAAAGCGTAAAGATCAAGAACAAGAAGGAGAAACTGTGAGGGATTGAAACGAAGTAGAATTTGGATTGGGCCGAAAGATGGTCTCTGAGATAATGAAAACAGGACATGACCACATGGGGTCTAACATTTTCTAAAGCGACAGAGAGAGAGAGAGAGAGAGAGAGAGAGAGAGAGAGAGAGAGAGAGAAATGGGCTCTGGTTTAAACTTTATCTTCGTACAGAGGGCATCAAATAGTCGTCCCGGAGCACCATGGGACGACCACAGCGGACCGGCGAAGGACTAGTTTCTGAACTTTCCGGCACGGCGGTGGAGCAGAAGTACCTAAACTAAACCAAACGCATGGTGGGTTTTCCTCAGAAAGGAACGAAGGAGGAGAAAAACCCATGATGGGCATCTTATCCTCTTAAAAACTGACAAATACAAAACCCACAATTGGGTTTGGCATCAAAGAAGAAAATGTGAACAGGCCACAGCGACAACATCGGTGGCGTTAACTTAAAAGACAAACTGGAAATGTCAATCAAGAAGAAATGATTCGGAGGAAAAGCTCCGGCTACGGCGGGGCCCTTGTCTCTGTCACACCATGAGAAAGGCCGCTGCTTTTTGCCT